TATATATATATATATATATGATGCAATCGAGAAATGTAGAGAAAAAATTTTTTTCATTTGAAATTTCGTTTTCAAAAAAATTCATATAATTCTTGACTGTATGCAGGATTATTTCGATTTTGCAAAAATAAATAAAAAATAATATTAATAATATAATAAATAGATAAATTCGAAATTATATTTTCGTTAAATACATTAATTGAACATATTCAAATTCGATTATTTGAAAGACAAGCACAAAAAATTAAAATACTATCAAATATCATTTTGCCAATTATTCACTTAGTCAAGAATTAACAAAATTTATATTTGCTTGTTAAATTTTCAAGCCTATTTTACCTCAAAACATGTTCGAATGCGAAAATTTCTATTCTATTCTACGTTTTCGATTTATTTTTCGAAGAAGAATCCCGAATACTGAGTCACACACGAAAAACATGCAAATATCTCATCGGCACAGTTCATAAGCACACAAAACGTGAAAACACGGAGGTAAATTAAATTCATATGGTTTAACGTCCAAACAGACTGCATAATTTGAATAAGTTATCGGGGTTCGATATTCCTTGCAGACAAATATTCACGGTGATTCGTATTCCGGGCCGGCTATCTTCGGGAATGTAACTGTAATCGTTTCGGTCGGTTACACGAAAATTTATCGGTTTACCCTGCGCCCGGTGTATTTTTATTGAGAGGCACCGGGTTGTCGTTTGACGCCAACCCTCCTGGAGGGGAAAAAAAATAAATTCGTTCGAAAGTTGCGCGGACATTTCCCTCGGAAAATAGCCCCTGTTTGCGATGCAAGCGTGACGCTTGAGTAAACAAAAAATGTCGGGCTTCGTTTTAATCGGGCACCCAATCGCTCAAGCTTGGGCGTTCCGTGGACTTTGTTGGCATTCTATGCAGCCAGCCACCGCGTTTCCTAGATAAATTCTTGCGATACGATATATGTGCGCACCTTCTTGTTCCTTTTTCCATTTGTGGCTCGCGGTAGCGGTTTGGGTGCTTGCTCTCTCTCGCTCGAGACCTGTTCGTTCACCATCGAACACCGTGTACATACGATATGCTTGGAAATTCCATGACGAAAAATGACTCGACGTTTTTTCTTAAATTATTGCGCTTCTTCGCCGATCTTTTGAATTTTTTAAAATATCATGATGTTGGACAAATTCGAGAGGACCGGATCAGATAAATATTTTTCTATCTATCAAATATTTTAATTCTGTTTTATTTAAAATTTATAGAATATTATTTGAATTTTACGAATTATATATATAAGTAAACAGGATTTTGAATATATTTCGATATTAATTTCAAAATATACGATAGATTTTTATTAAAAAAATTTTGCGAATCTTCCTAAAACTTTTTAAATTTATTTTTAAAAACGTAGCCCGTTCTTTCTTTATTTATACATCGAATTCACGTCTTCGGGTCCATTATCTTTTACGCAAGAAGCAATTTATATATTCAATAAAAACTTCATACTCCAAACAATGAGTTTACGATCTAATGTACCTTAAGCTTACCCAATTCATCTTGCTCAACCCGCCACTCAATAAAAGCCCATAAATTTCCAAAGCGCCTCTCATTAACACCTGACCTGTATACACTCGCTACCTAATCCTTTCACCTCAATTTCATCTTACTAGAAACTACGTTCCTGCATCATTAATCATACCTTCTACCAGAACCGGTGTTTCTTTCCTTCATTTGTATTCCTCGCGTTAATCCATCTTAATCGATGATTTCGAAACAAAGCAGGAGTTTCATACTGGAAAAATTTTTGCCAATCGTTTCAGACATTCGTGCGCCCATCTGAAGGAAGCCGCGAACCCAACACCTTTATTGCCGAATGCGTCCACCTCGGTCGAGATAGTGCCCGGTTTCCCAACGTGTCCTCGTTCCGACAACTTTACGATTTTGGGAGATGCGAAGGATGCCGTGTTATTGCCGGATGGAGGCCTGAAAATCGACGGAGTCACTTTACCCAGTGGCAAGTTCTGCGTCGAGAGGATCAAGGAATTGAATCACGTGTCCAAGGTCTTCGCTTGCTCCGAGAACGCATCGCAAAAGTGAGTTGGGACACTTTTATCATAGTCATTTCGTATAGTCGATTTTTCGGCATCGAAAGTACGGAAATTAAAATTCAATAGAAATTGAAATGTTGGATCATGAAAGGGTATAATATAGGGAAGTGAAGTTTTAAAGTTCGACAAAAATTGAAATGTTGTACAGAGAAATGAAATTTTAAGAAAATATTGGAAGGTTAAATTATATTTGAAAAGGTTATAGTATAAGGGAATGAAATTGTAACGTTTGATAGAGATTGAAAGATAGAACGGATCTGAAAGGAGAAGAGAGATATTGGAAAAGTGATTACATTAGAGGTGCAAATCAATTTATGGTTTAACTGTGTTTGAATTATGACAGTTTTGAAGATACATTTATCAAGTGTTTTTTAAGCCTGTAGGATATTGAATAATGGAGGTTATTTTGTGAAATTTTAATTTACTTTGGAATAAGGTCGTATTAATTTGCACGTCTAATGTTAAATAACTTAAAGTATTTCCTTCGTGAGCGAACTAGGTCGTTAACAACTCGAACGAAATTTCCATCTATTAATTTCCTTATACAAAATTTCTCATTCAAAATCTCTTTAACTTTATAGTCGTAACTAGAATTTTTTAGATTATTTAAAAATCTGATACAATTGAAAAAATTGATATATCAAATATATTAACGACTTGGTTTCTCTCGCGTATAAAAAATAAAAAAAATGCAGAAAATTACTTAATAAAAAATGGAGAATATGTTCTTGAACGTATCCAACTTCCTTAAATCCTGCTTACGTAATTGTATACGCATCGATCTTTCGCTATTTTTCCTCAAATTTCCGGCCACGTTACAAGTCGATTTTCTCTCGTTATCGCGGCCTCTCCTTCTAGAGAACAAATTTTCTATTCAACCCACGTTTCTTCATTAAACGAAAAATTAAATTAACGGACGAAATATGCACTGCATAATGCACAAAGTACTCTTCTAAATTTTTCCCGTCCAAGAAAAATGAACAATGAACGAAGCATTGTCCGCAAAACAATCGTATAAAACAATCTGAATCTTACGATTCGCGATTCAACTATTCCGTTCTTCTTATTAAATTTATTTTTTAATCGATCGACAATCGTTCGATTCATCGTTCGTTTTTAAGAGGGCGTGCTGGATCCAAGTCTCTGTCCTACTTGGAGATTCGAGGCACGAATCGACTTTTTGCCCGATCTCGATATCGGCCGCCTCGATCTGGATTTATCGCACGGCTTAATTGCATGCTCGATGGGTGAGACGAGGTTCGTTTCTTCGAGAAAAAGTCGGTCCCTCACTTTCACTCCTCTCTCGAAGAATTTCTAGGTCATATCCGTGCGCTCTCGGCGCGCCGCGTCATCCGTTGAGGATGATATTATCGTATCGTATCGTGTATTATCGTATCGATTACGAAGAGAAATGTTGATCGAGCGTTTCGTTCCTGTCTATGATTTTAGAAAGGTGCTGTACTTTGATATGGATATTTTATTACGATAGAAATTAGATTGTGTGCGATATGTAGAGAGTGTCTCCTTGTCATCGTGATTATCCGTGATTAACTTCATCCGAATAATTTTTTAAAAATTAAAAAAAAAAAAATCAACGAATCGTCAATTTCTATCCAAAAGAAAAATAGATAGAGTCAAAGCGGAAATTTTTAAAGAAGAATTTTCATAAGCGTTAAGTAAAAGCATAAATCTTAAATTAATCTTCCATTTGAACTCGCGAGAAACGAAACAGAGCGGAAAGATAATTACCTCATCAAACAAACTGCAAAAGTGAGAATACACCCCGGAAGAGGAAACAGTCTGATCTTGCAGATCTTAATTATCACGGGACACATTCCGGAAAGGAGATTTCTTCGAGATTTTTTCTCATCCATGCGCCGCTCTGGAACGGATGGCCGTTAATAGAAATTGCACACGGAAACCGCAATTTGCAAAACAACGCTCGAAACTCGATTAACGCGATCGTTTACATGCGAAGAGCAAAGCTTTCGCAAGCAAAATTCAGTTCGCATTCCTATCTCGACGTTTCATTGAAAATATTCTTCTTGTGCAATAACTTGGATCATTGGTGGAAAATCGTACGAATGGATCGATGGAAAGAAAGCGAATACCATCGCGTAGAAAGCAGCATTCGATATATCCTATATAACGCGTGCGAGCTCGGTGCATGCCTACACGCGCTGATTAACTAGGAAAAGTCTGGTGTTTCTTTTTTTTCTTTTAACTGGTGTTGGAGACACCAAGTCGACGATGTGAATGTGGGCCTGGATCGCTTCACGAAACTCGGAGAAACGATTTCTCTGAAACTTTCACTGGCGCGGTCGTAGTTTCTGGGGAATGGGTCATGGATTTACGTCGAAATTTGAGACACGAATGCGCGTTTCACGGAACGAACGGATGTTACCGAAATAGAAAATGTCGATTCGGTGTTTGAATATAGCATACTGTACGGTTCAATGTCGTCGAATAATTTCTAATAATTTTTAATTTCTTGATATCCCCCTATATCGATATCCAAAATCGTTCTAATTAATTACAAGTCCTTAATTTTAGCGTAGATTAAATGACTTTTAATTCAGATGAAATTTATCAATCTCTTATTTTTCAAAATCCAGAGTACAATCGTCATTATCTACCATACTTGTTTTCAATTCAAATTTATAATCGATACTTTGAAAAAAAAAATCAAACAAACGATTAAAAACAAATCGTTCTGCTTTGAAAATTTTTCAGACCTATAATGCAAGCGGCCGACATCAGGTTCACCTTGTACCCCGTGGGCTTCATCATTAGCGTGGTGTTCCTGGCAGCCACGTTGGCCGCCGGTTGGCTGCTGCCAGCCTCTCATCACGTTCTGCATTGGCGCTGCCAGACTCATCATGTCACCTGCCTGATGCTCGGTGATCTTCTCATGGCCATCATTCAACTCGCCGGAGACTCCCTTCACGGTGTAAACTGTAAAGCGCTCGGTGAGTCATTGTGCTTTATGATAAACTTTTATCGCTCTTTTATACCTAACCGCGCTGTGTCCCTCGACCTATCGTCGTTCGTTCCTCCATGATGATCGCGTTATCACGGAGATTAAATCTAAATGAACCACGGGATAGGATATTTCTAGAATCACGTAGCAGGGTATTACATTAGCCGCGATATCGAATTTTTTTTACATGGAAGGGTAGTTGGAATGATAAAATTAGACGAAATTACGGTGCACATCGTTGCAACAGGATGTGCCATATTTTCTGCTCGATATCGTATTAGAGACACCGTGTAACGGTTGAGTATATACTCGTTGGAATTAGAGTAATTGCGACGTTTAATCATGTCTAATACAGCCCCTTGTCACTAAATTAGGATCACGTATGAAAATTTAACTATGTCATAAATGGGAAATTATTCTTGACTACTTAGAAACTACTTTCGTTGACAATTAATTTATTACTACCTGCTTTTAGGAAGTAATTATCTCAAATTATTAATTTCTGAGTTCTGTAAATATAACGATCTTTTAGTCGCCAAAATATCGCTCGTTCTTTTCAATTTTACTAAAAAGAACGGGAAAATGTTAAAAGTATCGAGTGATCCTAATTGAACAATTGAATAGCCTATATATTACTATAACAATAATCAGAGAATTTCTCCAAAAAAAAAAATTCCAACGATGCGTGATAATCTTGAACCCTTTCCCTCATAATTCGTATCATCTTCAAGACGCAAACGACACTAAATTTTCTCGTCTCCCGTCTCTCGATTAAATTCCAAGAGAATCGAAAAAAAGGATCGTGAAGTGCTCGTCAGGAATCAAGATTTCGAGCAATCGTTGCGTCGTTAATCATAATTAATTAATCACCGATCACGCACGATTTCTCACGAAATTAATCGAACAAACCACCGCCCCCATCGTCGAATTAACGTAACCCGGCTCGTTGTCCGTGATTCGATCTACCCCCTTCCAAAATTTTTATCCCCTTTTCGCGGGGAAACAATCGCACGTCGGGGCCGGTGTGCAACGCTTGCTATGCGAGCAAATATACACCGATGGAATTCGAATTCGGACGGAAGCTTTATTTACCCTCCCCATCCTCCCTCCCAACTCCGGGCTAATTATTCGGATAATCGTGCTAATCCCTCGGCAAAGCTTCGCTTCTCCGCGCTCGTTTCGATCGCGAGAATCGATTACATTGTACACCTGCGAGCTTCCACCACCGGGATGGTCACCGTGAGTCCTCCCTCTCTCGTCTCTGTCCACGGGTAACAGCGACTCTCATTTGCATCTCCGCTCGTTTCCGCCATTATCGCTTTGTAGTCGGCCTTTTTCACGTCCCCCCGCCAGATTTAACCATTCCGCGAGGTAATTATGTTGCGACGGGGGAAACCGTCCGGAATTTGCATCGAGCGTATTTCTTTCCCTTGCGTAGCTCGCGCCCCGATCCTTTAGCGCGGAACCCAACGAGTCTCGCGGCTATTTCCGTTCCGTTTCCCGCTAAATTTCCACCAGAACTGTCTGTTCCGCTTGACAGAGCGGCCCGATCGCGATCCTTTCACCCGATGCTCCTCCTTGTTTCTTGATTCGATCGGTCAAACGTTTTCTTTTCTTCCTCCTCCTCTGGAATACTTTTCTGGAATAATAGCGGAGGGATGCGCAAGGTCGTTGGATTAATTTTAACCTTTTTCGTTATTTTGGAGAAGTTTGAAAATCCAAAATTGTATGGAAGCAGAAGAAAGTTTCTTCTTTGGAAATAGAATATGAACAAATCGGTTTCTCCAATTCTCCTATTTGGCGGTATATTTCATCTATATTTCAGATTGTAACACGAATATTGTAATTATCTTGGCTATATCGTCGACAATCCCCCGGCAGAAGGGATTTCGGTCTCGAAATCAAGAGAATGGCGTGTTTAGCCAATAAGATATTGTCTTCGTAATTTATCGATGAGAGAATCACCCTGTTTGTGAACTCTATCGTCGATAAATATTACAAATACACAAATCGTGTGTCCGCTTTTCCTCGTGTATACACCATTCCATACAAGAGAACAAGATTTCAACAAATTTTTCTCTTCATCAGAAAATGGATTGTTTTAACTTAATGATATTGCCTTTTGTAATTTATCGATAAAGGAATCCTTGTATTACGTGTAACCGATTCCTCTCCATTCCTCCGATAAAGGAAGGAGAAAGTGGGACACGGAGTGACCCACAATCGGACTCTTCACGGGTTGCTTCTTTCCTCTTTTTCTTCCTTTTTCTTTTCTCCCTCTCTCTCTTCTTCGACCAAAGTTTTCCTTCCCCCAAGGTCTTATCGGTCCGTTCTGAAAACCTCTTACGGGGGCGAAGTTTATTGTATTGACACAGTTAGCTGATGAATTTGTTTGGTTAGAGTAAATGGAAGTTGTACGATTGATTATTCGATACGAGGGAGGCTAATGGTCTGTGAGCGATTGTTCAAAGGATTGTAAGTGGCGTGACATCACCATAATTTTTAGATTTTTCTAGACTTCTTATTTCCATTTCTTCTCTCTGTGTGTACACGAGACGTTTCAACAGAGATAGGGGAATTTGTGTTCGTAGGTCTTCGCTTTTGTGAGAAATACTCGTTATGTTTTCTTCGTGAGGTTGCATAATCGTGTCACGTTATACTTCCAACGTGCTATATGCGTGGAGAGATAAAACGAGCAAACAGAAAACGCATATTCAAGGAGAATCAAACTCCTCGATGAGTAGCAGCGATTAAACCGCCTCTTTTATACGATTTTATACAACTCTGTCAATCTTTCGAATCTCGCGTATCACATTATTGTTGAAACGTATCTGGACATTTGCTTACTTACTCGACAAGATTTAATCTACTTTCAAAATTGTTAACAGGAAATTGTTCGATAAAATTCTAGAAATTAAATTTTTTTTAAAGAAACATTCTGAAAACGGGAAAAGGAAAACATCGAATCGTTTTAAATACAACGAATTAAATCGTGTAACGAAACTTGTTAATACGAATAATGTAATATCCTATAATTTTAAAAAAAATGGTTTAATTATTTGACATTTTAGTAGAACCCATTTATTTAAAAGTTGATCAAAATATCCAGATACGTATTCACGAACAGTAATATAAATTCGTGAGACACGGGCGGAATGCAAAGAAGAAAACAACATAACCTCGCGCGTAACGCATTCGAACGTGGAGATTGCACAATCGATCGATCGATCGATTCAGTCCGGTTGTTCGTCCGGATCGACACGGAATCGGTATTCGGCTGTACTCATTTCACCGTCCTGGCGGAAGTATTAAAATTCATGAGCGTTTTTAATTCGATTAGTTCGTTCGTCTTTCAGAAACCGGTTGTACGACGCCTGCAACAGTAAGGCCGATTAAAAATTCAACTCGATTATGCCTCGATGAAATCTAGTTTCCACGAATTGTTAACTTCCTCTCCCTCGAGCCACCACTGCTCGTGGACAGAATAATTCGAGATAGATTCGGAAAATTCGCTCGGTTCCTCGAGCCGAGTTGGTTGGACTTTTGTTCTGCTGCAAGGAATTTCATCGTGTTCGATTCGCGACGGAATAAACCGCGCTAAATTGTTCGAAAATCCACGGACGATATACGAGAAAGCAGCGACACGCGTGTCGACTCGATCTTCCAAGTTGGAATTTATTTTTCCATCGGCTCAAGTTCCCGGAAGCTCGTTTCCTCGTTTCTCGCTACCTGTTTGCTCGCTGAAATTCCACGCGCGACTTGAGATTTTGCTGCTCGTTTTACGCCATCGCTGCGTCGTCCATATTTACGTAACACGAGCCTTGAAAGATAGATCGAAGAGTAAGAATCGATTTCTTCTTGTTAGAAGTGTCCATCCTGGTTTGTGCGGTTTCCTCGCGTAAACCGCTTCGCGAGTTGTACGCGGATGCGAGCTCGAAGCGAAGATAATACGTTTGATATCGATATCCCGGTAGTCGAGTCGTTTAATTTTCATTTTTAAAAATCGATCGTTCTCTCAATTTGTGATCGAAACGACGATATTTTAATCTTTTGCGCCCAATAATCCGCCAACTCTATCATCAAAATTACAACGATTATATGCCATAAGTATATTTTTCGTAGCACTTAGGCAAGATTCCCAATTGCGATTCCCCTCCATTCCAATCTACGATCACAAAATTTATTCAACAATAATATCTACTCCGTATAGAATTCGTATCGTATCATTTCGCATACTTTATTATTTGTTTTTCATTCGCGGTTTAAGATCCGCGAGACGTAATAATTCAACGCTCATTCGACGCGAATTCGGTCCGACGACGGAAGGAATTTCATCGCGACAATAACGGTAACGCGAGCCTCCTCTCCTCCCCTCTCCTCTTTTCTTATTTCACCGAGCATCGTAGGAAAACGTGGACGCGGCAATTATTGTTGACAGAGGCGGATTGTTACGTATCGATGGCCTTGCCGCAGTGTAGCCTCGAATAACGGGTTAAACGCTGGTTGGCGCAATCGCGAGACTTTTTCAACCGTTTTAGTCGGGAGAGCCACTGCCGCTATGCGATCGAACCGTTTACACGCACGGGTTATACCGGTTTTTTTTCGTTTTTCTTTGTTTTTTTTTTTTTTTTTTTTTTCCGTTAGACATCGCGACACGATTTATGAGTACTCGTGTATTCGACGCACGCGAGCTGCGTGCGAGATAGGCTGCCCTCACCGGATCTTTGATACTGTTAGATGTGGAAATGGGAGGTGTGGAACAGGTTGATCGCCATGGGTGTCCGTTCGAGTTGGTGCTCGATTTGGAATCCGGCGATCCTGGAAATTGGACATCGTGGAATAACGATTTTAGAAATTTTTATGAGGATGTATCATAGTGTAATTGCGTCTCGTTGTTCAAAGATATTTCATCTCGTTTCTCGATGCGATATTAAAATGATAATTTTAAGAAATTATTTTGATGTGAACGTGGAGAATGTCGAATTTTTA